ATCAGGGTTTGCAAACAAATATTTTTCGAGTGCAAAGATGGTCATGGATCATTGCGGGAGGAAATCACTAAAATTTAATGTAAGGATTATGGCGTATGGACATTTTAATATTCAAAGTTAGAGGTTCTATTAATTTTGTGTAAATATTGGATTCACACTAAAACTTTGGATCTAAGACGGGTCCCTGTTGAATTATGCTTTATTACTTTCGTCCATAATAAGGCGAATTCATAATAGAAGCCAACAAGAGGAATACACATTTGAATTAAAACAAAAATGCCAACGTTGAATTTTGATTATGTATTTCAAATTTAATACAATTATAGTAAAGGTTTGTGAACTAGATGCTTTATCGCTGGTAGAGTAAAGCATTGTGTGATGGATTAGAAATTTGATATGTGAACAGAAAACAATAGAACTACCTCGTTTCTCAGGTGGTATGTTGTGAAATAGACAAGAGTGTGGTTTAATAAATGAGAAAAAAAGCATCTTGGAGCGATAATTTTTTTGATAGTAGAATTTTTTCGATAACATAGGGAAGGCTGAGTAAATATCATCCTAAGACTGAACACCAAGTATTTTTACACAATTGCGTCACTTGAAAAAGTAACATGGTTAAAATTCTGGGCATTTGAAAGTATTTAATAAATTAAATCTTTCTTCAAACCAAACTTTGTCACTGGGTGAACAACAATCGAAGTTAACAATAACAAACAAATGGCTGAAGGAAATTCGTTTTCAAAAAATTTAGGACACCAAGCAAATTTCATTGAGCTAACGCGTGCATTTCTTCAGCTCGAACAGGCATTTATCCGCGATTTCCAGATTCACGCATAGGACACTTATTTACACAGTTGTCCCAGAAATAGGTGAGCATGGAATTGTAGCTCTCAAAAGGCACTCCACACTAAGGCTACCACTTTACGAGCTCATACACACATAAGCGTACGCTATGTGAGCGAATTCTCACGAAGCTAAAACTTCAATTTCAAGTGAATTTCAACAAACTCACGAATTGGCAATAACTAATAAAATATTTTTCTACAGGAATTTTATTTCACAATGTGAGTAATTAGTGCGAAAATATTTAATGATCTGGGAAATTAGTGCCTTCAGGTAAGGAGTAAAATTAATGACTGCTAGTGTGTCACCTTCCCACTTAGCGCCATCGTCCACCCCCCATGACCTTGAAATGCAATTACCCGGAGCAATAATTATGTCTACTCTATGCTACAACAAAAACTTACTGGAGAAGCAAATAAAATCAAACGAAGCAGCTCCAGATTCCTAGAATCTTTTGACACAAGACATCGCAGGAATTAATAAGGCGTATTTTATTACTAGAAGTATAGTTACGTTAGAGATCTTGAGTTCAAAGCCCATCGGTTCATTTTTAGAGGTTGAAATAGGCAATTACGACAGTCAAATTTGACAAGTAAATGGAGTTAGTGGATGCGAGTTTGAGGCTGGAAAATGTTTTTTTAATAAGGCTTAGGTTTTATCTACTAATATTACCATCAACGTTTAGGGCTCTCTATCAAAATTCCTTTGATCGAAAGAGGCGGTGAAAATTAACTATGCTACATTTTAAATAATCACTATAACTACAAAAAAGGTGGAATACATGCTCCAAGGGCCTGATATCTTCACATCTATCACAAGCATTCGAAACTAACCAAAAGAGAACTGAAGGTCACCATCGTTAAGCAGCTATAAAGACCAGATCAGTGCAGAAATCAGACCAAATGAACGTGAGTAGTTCTAGACGTTCACTTCTCACAGCTTCCAACACAGTCCTCAGGACAAACTATCACGCAAGTTCAGCAGGCTGTATAGGGACTTAAAAATTCCATTTCGTACCCCCTTTTAACTGAACAAATATAAAATTAATAAAAAAGCTTTAAAGTCTTCCTCAGCTGATATTTTAAAAATAATCATCATTGGTTTCCTTACAAGCAGATAAAGAGATAAGACAATTTAAAGCTTTGTCTAACCACATTTTTATTTTATCATAAGTCCTTGTTTAAACCAGTTCGAGACCATAACGAGATTTACTATTTTTAGTGAACTAAGTGTATAGATTAAATTCTAACATGCTGATATTTAAACTTAACAATAAATAAACAATATAAAAGCATCATTTATCATCTTTCGAAAGCTTTCCGACAAAAAAAAGTTATTTAAGGGGGAGTATTTTTCTGATGGGTGGAAGTAAAGTACATTTTATTTGGTTCATTGGCAACTTTGTCAAATGGCCATGTCATTAACGATGCCGATGGTCATTACAGCCGACTGACATGCGAGAGCGAATTTCAATTCCATGTCACTTTATAAGTCTTCTGACTTATAAAGCAGACAATGCACAAGTGGAATCAATTATCATTAGAAAAAAAATTGGTTGATGATGTCTACCTAGTGATCTCTTCGGTAGGCAAATTTTCACTCAACGTGTTCAGACATGACAAAATGGAAACGGAGCCCGTGCCTTAATATGAATTAAAAATGCAATTAAATCCACCAACGCATCATTTGCAAGACGAGAAGGTTCACAGAGAATCAGAGAGCGAGACAAATCCGTAACCGCATTCGTTTTAAAAGCTCAGAGAAAAACTAGTATGCAAATGAGTTGTACTTCTATTAATTAATGTTCATGCTAGTGCGGACTTTAAGAAACAGGAGCAGACATAAATAGTAGAGAATGAGACGTGTCCAAGATTAGCGATTGCACTTCCTTGTTTGCATAAAAGCAATGAATAATAAGCATGTATTAATGGAGATTTTTCTTTCATTGGACAACAATACCTTCACTATTAAGGAAAGAAGAATGGAGTTATGTGGTTGGGGATAAGAAAGTGACTCAACTGGAATCTGTCTGTTAAGAAATTTTATTCGTTAATACATTGTATGTCAATCAACTGGGAAATCAAATGTATACTAATCGATAATTTTAACTTGTGGTGTACTGTATTGTTGTTGATAAAAGCTGGGTAAAACTAGAGTAAACCGAATAAGTGATGTCCTCTTAAATATGCCACTCTTTTTATCTAAAGCAATCGTCTATGGCGATTAATGAACTTTAAAGTGCAATTTAATTTAAACAAACATGATGGGACTTCTTGTTTAGAATAAATTAGCATATATCGTTCGGAAAATAGCTGAAAATTAGGAGCAAATACATAGTAATTTGAAGTCCTGTCAAAAATTTGCAAAAAATCTTCGTATCTAAATGTGTTCATAAAACTGTCAACAATATAACTTCATAACCTTAAAACTAATTCCAATTGCACTTCAAGATGTCAGGTTCGAAGTTCTTTTCCTTGTGGAACAGAAAAAGTACTGAATACTAAGTGTTTTACAAAAAGTGTAGTTCAAGCTAATAAGTAATTTAAAACGAATTAGAAGGAGAAACCCTGAAAATTCTCATTCATACACGGTAAAAAAGAAATAATCAATGCACGGAAACCAGGAATTTCTCCATTTTTCGTCATTATTTTTAATATTACCATTTGCACTTAAAATAAGTCACCAAACGGAATTCTTTGTCAAGTGGCTTTTTAATAATCCTCTAAACTTTTTGATTAAAAAATCGATGTATTCACTTTCTTATAAACTATAGGCGCTTATTTTTTTCAAAATAAATAATGGATGAAAGCAATGTCATCGCCCGGTAAAACAAAAACGATTGTGGAATGTAAAAATTTTGAGAAAATTGGAAAGTTAGAATAGACACTTAGAAGATGGCCTTTCAGGGCTAAATTAACGCATTTGAAACAAAATTAAAAAAGTAATTTTCAAAACTACTTATAACGAAAATACGTAGATGGGGAAAATGGTGCACGAAAACCGATATCAAAGGCTGCACTTCTCCTATATTTGTTCAAAACAAAGCTCAGAAAGCCTTCAAGGTCATAACATATTTCGAGGAAATTAATTATCGGGAAAAATATAGTTGGAAGCTTCAAAACTTAATGTATTTAAAAGCAGATCAAATGCGATTAGTGGGATTTTTACCTACAAAAATATTTCGAAACTGAGGCAAGTTGACTTTAAACGTGTCCTGAGAAGAATCTCAATAACTGCCTCCTTTCTACAAGTTAAATGGTTACCTTCTGTAATGCCCACGCGATAATCAATGCATAATAAACCAATGAGGTAAGATCTGTAAAGACAGGGAACTCGGAGGCCAAGCATGCTTTTGAAATTCCGTTGTAGTCATAAAAGTTGACTGGCAACATTAGCGACTATTCTCAATGATGTGGCTAATTGCCAAATCCTTCTCCCACCATGAATATGCCCATTTATTAAACTCAAGTACGTTTACCAGGTCTTATCTACTACAGTACTCAAAAGTTCCACGTATACCTCCAAGTCAAACCTAAGACTCACTTTAGTTCTAAACGAAGGGAAGCTTCACATCGCATCACCCTAGACGGTTGAATATACTTTTCAGCACTATGACAACTCAGACAAATTCAGTTTGCTTGACTATGCAAGTCACCTAATACACTGAGTATTGTACTTTTTGATTGGCACAAGCTTTTCTTTTTAGAAAAGAATCAGATTGTTTGCAATTCATTGGCAAGTGTTTCACGGTACCCAGAAGCTTCTTCGCCTTTGTCAGATAATTTTCGTGATGAATTTCGAACAAGTCTGCTGCGACCGCGCAATCCGAACAGATTGTCTGCTATGTTATTTGTCGGGAGTTGCTTCCACCTAACAGTCTGTATGGTGTATATTTTTTCTTATTGGTGGGTCATTTTCACATTTTTAAGCAGTATCGAGCTTTAGTAATTTTTATCTAGGTACAGGTTACTTTTTTGCAAGATTCTGGAAGGTCTCAGTCAACCATTGTCGTTGTCATCACGTAGGTTAATGAAAAAGGAGTTAAAAGTTCAAACAAAGTTAGTCTGTGAAAATACCTCTAGGTCGGTAGAAATAAACCCTTGAATACTATTCTGCAAAATTTTTCCCTACCACCCTCCATATCCTTACAGTTCTGTCTAATCTATTGTATACAGTGAACTTAATAAGTACAATATTGTGATAATAACCAAATCGCATTCTGTCAGTATGAAAAAAAATTAATTGACTTAACTTTTCAGCATCCATCATAGCCGCGGCGGATTCCAAATCTGTAGCGACTGTGTTTAAACGTTCAATCACTACTCGAAGGCGTTCCACTATAACTGAAATCAACTCCTGTGTTTTTATGATTCGATAGGACTCCAAAATCTGACCAGCTTCGCCCCATTTCTTCACTGTGGAGTTGTAGTGATAGCGACGGTGAAGGTTAAATTGCTCCAAAGCTGCGGAGAAATCCGAACGAGCCCGCTTGAATTCATTGTGCTTCAAGGTGTAGGCAATCAAGGCCTGAAATATGGTTAAAATCAGATATTTACTACTTCAATGCATTTTCTCTCATTCCGACACGATTAAATGATTTAGGAAAAAACAAACGTTTGAGTACCGCCAAATATGAGGTCCAATGTTGAAAAAGTAGTTTTTATTCTCTTTCTCACTCAAAATCAAAATGTTTTGCACTTTTTATACGGAATGGTTCGAAAAATGGACAGTTCGACTAACTCATAGATACTAAATTATATTTGCATTCCTATCTAACTAGAATTCAACAGCTAAAATCAAAATTCTCGCAAAAGGGCAAGAATAAGTTTCACTTATCAAGAAAACTGAAAATATATTTCCAATAATAATGCTCAGAAATTATTGAAAATTTCCATCATCAATTGGGATTTTATTAGAAATAACGTCTGTAAACATTACGTAAATAGTTTTATATCTAAAGCTTATGAAACTTTTGGATATAAACGCCTACTATTCAAGTAGTTCGAGGTGAAATTTTAGAGCATGAGTGTCACTAAATTGTACGGTAATCAATCGCGTTTTAGTCTAAAATAAAAAAATCACGTGGATTGATGTCGAGTGAGACGGAATCATTGTTTCATTTTCAAGACGCAACTTCTAAGGCAAACGTGTAAACATCAGAAATGGGAGCAATAAACAGAAATGCCCTTTTTTCAAATATTTCGGAAATTATATTGAGGAAATCAGCCATAGATTAATACTTTTAAATCGACGTTCAAAATATTCCATCAATCCGATATATATACTTTAGATAATAGAACTAGACTTATTGAACATGAAATCTTATTTGCAAAGGATAATTATAAGTAATGATAATTAAAGGAATAAAAAAAATCAAAGCATGAAATTATTGTTGTAAAATAAACCTTTAATTTCACCTTTTCAACATCCAATTTAGAGTAAGATTTGTCCTCATTGGCCCGATCGTAATCCTCCTTGCTACGAATAACTTCGCGATATTTATCATGATATCTTTTCATTTCTTCATCAATAATCCGAGCTTGATTTTTCGTCTCATTTTGAAATCTATCCCGATCTTGCCGCCATTGCTTCATACTTTTTCGTTCATTATCGATTGACTGTTTCATCTCACTATTAGCATGTTGGTCAATTGAAACAGGGAGAATATTTTCCGTGTCGATAAGCCTTTTAATAGCTTGAATAAATGAATTATATCCCTGACCAAAAGTGGTTTCCAAACCAACAGATTTCTTAATATTGATAAACGCTTTTTCGCACATTCGTCTAAATATAAGATTAAAAAAATAAAAATTTACTTCTGAACCAAAAATGAATCAGATTGCACCTTTACTATTTCACAAATAAATTTTTGTAATTTTTCGTGAAGAGCGATTCCGCTTTCTTGATATTTAATTAAATTAGAAGTTTGGTCCTAAAAAATAAATTAAAGAATATAAACATACCCAAAGTTGAACACCCCATGATCGTTCCGTTAACATTACTTCCGGTTTAGATTGCCGAATATAGTGATGATTTCAGAGAATTTTTAAGGTTGAGTTGTGCGCGAACGCTTTGAAAGGTCAACATCTATTATGCAAATTTAATATAATTAAAAGGTTGTATGAATCAAAGTTTTATATACTATAAGCTTAGTATTTATAAATATTATATAAGAAAAATATTTTAAAAGATAGCAGGCAGACGCTTTAAATTGCGAATATGGAGACGAATATCACATATTTTTAATAATATTTCAAGAGAACATCCGAAACATTTCACTTCATTTACATGGAGAGCTTTTCCATCTACAGGTAATTTTCTTTGATAAGTTTTTTCCATTATGGGAAGATGCATAACTGAAAGCCATTTCAAATTCAAGTTGATTCGTGAAAAAATCAGTTTACTATAAAGTTGTCGCACAATATGTAGACACTTTACATATCTTGAACCCTTTAAATTCTGTCGTTTCATGCACGGCTATGCTAGGATAAGGTTTGTTGGTTCGCTATCAATAATTGCTACAAGTAGTCACTTATTTTAGCTATTGAGTGGATACTCTTTATTTTATGACTAGTAGTTCAAGTGAACATCACCTGAATGGAGAAATCAGCCCATTAAATAGTATTGATTTATTTGACAAGGCGTTTTTATTTATATGATTATAATTTAAAATACTAATTTTGTCTAAAAACTGCTCATTTAGATTAGATATTGTACAATTTTCACATGATAACCTAGAAAAAGAGAGGCTATTTTAAGTTGGCCAAACATTTGGGTCGTCGGCAGCCTAGTTTGACCTAATCTTGGGATATTCTGTGCCTAGGGGCTAAGGCGAAGTCCAATTTCCGATTATTGTATTTCCACATTTCAATATCAGTAGAATTATCTTTTGACAAAGATGCAGAAATCCCTACCTAAAGAAAAGGTCGTTCAAGTATATGAAAAACTATTTGCTGTAAGTGAATATATATTTAGCTAATATTCTTCAATTTAGGGTCAAGATATAACTTCAGGAAGGGCAGAATTTTGGGATGAGTTCTTTCTTCTTCGAGTGAATGTCAAAGTCCTTTTATCCTATTTTGATAAAGTTTCTCTTACTCGTATAGTTGATTTGAAGGTAAACGGATTAGATTACTTTAAACACCGTGACTCCAATTTAATTTCTCTTATATTTAGATGCATCTTAACCGTCTCTATAACGAATGTCTTCAAAAAGCCCTGAACACATCTCACTGGCAACGTATAGCGAATGCCTTGCAAACATCTGACTGTCTCATGTTAGGTGCTTTCCGCGTCAAAAATTTAAATATTCCTCCCGCAGACAAATTGAAATTTCTCATTCCCAGTGAACGCTCTGAGTCAGCTAAAGTTGTGAGTTTATGACTTCTCTATTTAGGTAATAACTCGTCTTAGATATACCACCTGTCAATGTCATTGCCTTTTTTAGGAATACTTGAAACTGTGCACCACCAGTTTTGCCAAAGACTGGCCACCATTGTTGCAAGAGCTTGTTATTGAATCTCTACTCATCCGTTGTATAGTAAGATTATTTGCAGTGATATGCTTTCATGTTTGTTCCCCGTTGAAATGCTAACCTATATTTCTTCAAGTTATCAGATAATGTGAATGACAACCCTATTTTCGACTGGCTATTAGATGAGAATCTTTTTGAGTTGCTTGGCACTCTCATCAGTAATACTTGTCTTAGGCAAAGATTCGCTGTTGGAGCTTGTCGTTTGCTGGGAATTATATCGCAGTATCGATGGAAAGAGGTTTGTATTTTATGTTTACTATATTTGTCCTCAGATCAATAACCTTTTTCTGATGAAACTGGCTCAAGTCAAGGACGAAATTCTCCTTAATGTAAGCTGACTTTTGATAAACGCGATCATTACGCTTCTCACATCGGCATACTTGTTTTGCTCATTGAACCCTTGCAACCAAAGATTAGTTTTTGAGTAATTGGTGTATAATTTTCATGTTTGAATTGATTATGCTTGTTATGTTTGCGATGGCATGTCTCATGGTCATAGTTTCCCGGCCTTATTTTGATCGTTTTGGAAATTATATGAGTAGTTTACTTGCTGATTTTGAACGCCAAGCTTAATGATCCATGGTGAGCTTATTACTACCACCCATCGCATAGCAAAATACTTTTACATGCCGTAATCCAGATAAAACATTTGTATCAGTGGAATAGCCTACGGGGCCCGTTAGTCATTGAACAGGTGAGAAGGAGTTCAAGACAAATCAGTTTCTTACATATTTGAATTCTAGCAGATTTGAGGTGCCTGTATTTTTCGAAGTGAGAAGTTCACTTTGTGGTGTCGTAAGTTCATGGATGAGGTTATTTCTACAATAGCTAGAGCTTGTGGATCAGTTAACTTAATTTCGTTAGTCATGCAACTCTAATTTATCTCTATCTCTCCTTCCTTAGCAGAGATACTAATGACTTTCTTCGTTTTCTTGTCTAATAAAATCATAAATTAATTTATCATCTTTTGCATTGCCCAATTGTAATACGCATGTATTTACTTATCTTCTTGTTATCTTAGAGCATATCTGCTGTTATTTCCTTTACGATTTCTGAGTCAACGAGGTATGTGTTTTGTAATGCTTGTTTGTTTACCAATGTGTATTTGTTTGATTTTCATTTAAATTATGCTAAGCTCTATGCTCCATCCCCCCCACACCCCCACCCCTATAGGAAGTATAATGAATATGTCCAGGCTTCGGGTGGACTTCTTTCCTCGATCTCAAGCATGGTAAGTGCTATTTATTTTTTGTAAGTAATTCTGAAGATTTTTTTCTTCTTAGTTCACTTCTATTTACTCTTACCACGACTTAGTCTAAATTGGCTAATTTTATGTTACATCTTCATTACTATTAAAAGTCATCATTCCGTTTTTTTAAGTCTTGTACCAACTTTTTCTGTTAGCGTAAAAATAACTTTTTGGAGATGTTTTCATGCCAAATCACTCGTAGTCGCTATCTCACGTTTTATACTGGTTAAGCTCGTTTTACCAAGTGTGTCCTCCATCACAAGCATTCAGGAATCTATTCAATGGATAATTAACATTTTGACATCTCTTAACCACTTAGTATTAATTGGTAAAATTGGCCGTGTCTTTCAATTCATGAGTGTTAATAACGTCTAATCCACGACATATGTAACTGAATATGTCTCTCGTGCGTACTAAATTTAGAGCTTACTCCTTCCAGTTTACTTATTTACTACCATCGTTGGTGTTTTGGTCTTAAATGAGGTATTCCACTACTTTTTTAAGTTCCATCCATTGATAGAAGTGAGGGGAGTACAATTGTTTTCTCTCTTGTCTGTCTCAGAATCGGATCGATTTTTTTTATTTTGCATAATCGTTCTGTTGTCTGATGGCTTGAGGATCTTCATCCGGAGCTCTCGACTTTCGCTTTAAACTAGCCCCTTATGAAAATTGCTGAGTAATTCGCTGCACACAGTCGTTATTTGTTGTATGTACGCTGGTGGCGTAGTGATAAAAGTGCACCTCGCCAATTCAGATGATAGGAGATCAGTGCCCTTTCTTCCACACCCCGTGTTGTTGTGTACACTCTTACCCTGGTTAATGGAAGAGGATCTTGCAAGTGAGTTTGTCATAATAGAGTTCAAGGTATCATCTCTCTATGAAGGTCAAGTGTTATAAGCACCTCCTCTAATGGGATCCAGGCTTTTGAAAGCTTTGAGTCGTCTACTTCTTTATGTGATATAATGTACCGAAGTTCAGTTTGCTTAATTTACTTCCTGAGCTTCCGTGAAATACGGGGTCTGTCTCATTTATTCCTTCATTTTAGAATGGATTTAGTTAATAAAAGCAGTTCTTACTGGTCACCATATGTATGTCGTCTGGTTTCTCACCTTCTTTTCTCTTGATAAAATATGTGGTCCTATATGTATCTACCTTAAAATATCCAAGGTCATTGTAAAGAAGGTGTTCTAGCACACTAGTCATTTGGAATCTATGATGAGAAACCCTTTTTCTACCAACACTCAATTTATCAGTGTAATGTGCTGTGTCTTGCCATTTGATACGTTTTTTACTGCATATGAAATTTTACAGTGCTTACTAATAAGGAATCTCAAATTTCGGTATAATATAATTTGTTTTCAATTATATTTGATGCTATATGACATAATTTCCGTCTTCATTTGTCATTCTTTTCCATTGCTCGTGTAGTTTCTTGAAAGCCTACTATTTTTTAATCAAATTACTCATTCAAGTGGCACTTCGACCACTTTTTCTCTTCGTGCCCTTATGGGGATATGAGATGAATATGCAATGGAGCCGAGCTTGATGAATATGTTGGATGTGGTAGTACATCCAATTTAATGTCAAATATTTTGGAGGTCATTATTGTTTTGTGAGATGGAGGCATCATGTTGAAGAAGTATACCTTTTCTGTTAACCAAACTTGGACGTTTATCTTTTAATCGTATACTTTATTTTTCCCTGTTTGTTGACACTAAGCTTCGGCGTCAACAGTTCCACCTTTGGATCGAAAAATCGCATGGAAAATAGGCAAGAATGGCAAATGGTGATGATGGAAATTGTGCTACCTAGTGTCATAAGTTTAACATAAAATTTAAATTTTATGTTGCTTGTAAAATTAACAATTTCCTATTGGTTTCTCTAATAGGCATTGATGTAATGTACTCGGTTACTTAATCACGTTATGAGTGCACTGTTTCAATCAATATCTTTCTAGAGAATGCAGAAATATTGATAAAAAGTTAAATTTTTGTACTTATTTCTTTAAAAATGTAGATTGTCTGAGTGATTGGTTCTAGCCTAAAAGTCACCTATGTGGAAGAAAGGCGCTTGCCAAACCAATCTTCTTTAGGTAAAAGAAATACAAATGAGAGAAAATTAGCATTGTATTTAGGTGCAAAAGTGCTTTGAATTTTGGGGAGAGGGGTGTGCGATAGACTTACCTCCACGTGGTGCACCCTGGGCAACGTATTCTCATACGGCAAAAAAGTCCATAAACCGGCAGTTGACCTCTGGCGCAGTACTCATCCTACCTTTTCTCTGCCTTCATGTCTGTGTCTTTACATCTGTAAATCACTCTTCTGTTCCCCACCCCTCGACTTTCTGTTACTTTGACGGTCCTTCCCTCTGTGAAGCCCGAAGAGATCACTGGAGATTTGATGACTCATGGTTTATTTCTCCCTGTTTGGAGTGTAATAGACTTACCTCCACGTGGTGCACCCTGGGCAACGTATATTCATACGGCAAAAAAGTCTTTTAGTCGGCAGTTGATTTCTGGCTTCAAACTACCATGACCCCACTGTATGTCATATCCGACTACTTCCACAGCATTCACCTCACCTTTTTTCTCTGCATTTGTGTCTGACTCTTTCGCATCTGTTAATCATTATTCTGTCCTCCTCCCGACATTTTTCCCTTTAATGTTCCTCCTCCTCTCTGTGAAGCCCGAAGTCAGCTAGAGAGCTAATGATAACTAGCAAACCGCCTGCCACTTGAAAGAAAAAGAATTTTGAGGAGCTAGTTAACTTAGTGCAGTCGATGAATGGTTTATATGCGGAGAGCTTAGTCAATACGATGTTGTGGAAGGAGACTAGAATCTGGCATAAGTCAATGGAGCAATTGTGACTAGGCTAATCGCGAATTCGTCCTAAATATTCTTATTTCTTTAATCATTTAATCCAGTTTAATTTGCTGCATTTTTAAATGAAATTGTCCCTCTTTTTTTGATCTACTAAATAACTTTTGTGTTTTTTTTGCTTTTGGACTAATCAGTTCGCTGGACGTAGAGTTGATGGCCAACGGCACGATTTCAGGCATGTTCTGAAATAGTTTCACCGTGATGTCCCTTCTATTTTTGTATTTCGCTTACAACTCTAATAAGGCGTTGCTTGAATCATCACTTTTTCAGTGTCCTTGACGGTTTGCTGCTATGTTTGTACGTTATCATCCGCCAAAATCCTCGTTTCCCTTCACTCTTTTCCTGTTCTCATACTCATATTGACACTCATCAACAAAACAGAGGTAGGAAGTGGGAAACAACTGCTGTTTGTTTCCAGTCTTATTGACCTCATCGAAACTGTGTCCCTTTTATGTCTCTTCTTTTTTTGAATAGGAGCGTCGATAGGCCAATTGAATGAGTACGGTGACGGAGAATTGGGTCCGCCTCTGGATCCACGCAACCTAATGGCAGATTTGATTGAGTTTGCCTCCGTGGTTATGCAGGGCATTAAAGACAGTAAGTTCTCTTCTGTGCATTGGATCTCTCCAGTGAAACGTGAATATTAAACTTTGCGTCCAATTGAATTCTTTCAACTTGTCTTCTCGAATTTTTTCCATCATTTTTTTGCCTGCCCACTTTTCCTTTATTGTTTACTAAATAGGTTAGCGTAAGCACACAAATCTTTTGTTGTGGTTAAGGGAGTTTACTCTGCTAAACAGGTTTCGACTTGTTTATTTATTTATTTAAATCAAATGGCAGGCGTTTTGATTATTATCATTAGCCCTTTAGTTGACTTCAGGCTTCACAGAGGGGAAGGAACATCAAAGTGAAAAAAATCGAGAGAAGGGGAACTGAAGAGTGTTTCAAAGACGAAGGTTGAAAATTTAGAAAAGAATGTGGTGTAGTATTGTGGAAGTGGTCAAATATGTCATACGGGGGGGCCTTGGTAGTTTGAAGTCAACTGCCGGTTAATAG